ACACACACACACACAGAGAGAGAGAGAGAGAGAGAGAGAGAGAAGCAACTGGCAGGGTCAACCCTCAGCCAAGGCCTGGAGAGAGCCCCTGCAGGGTTCAGGCGGACCCCTTACCTTGCTCAGGAGGTCCTCAAGGCTGTAGGCCATGATGCCTTTGCGAACCTTCCGATCTGCCGTGCTAACGCGGCAGGGCTTTGCCCTGGGGGCCTCCCGGCTGGGCTTCGACACCAGCCGTTGGGTTACCACTGCAGTGCTCACGGCCACTTGCCTGGGGACATCAGTTTGAACCTCAGATGACCTGCCTGCTGCCACCAGGTCTGCCCACTCCTGCCTGCTGAGCTCACACCTTACCCTTCCTTCCAACCAGTCATAGCCACTCAAAGCCCATCAGAGGATGTGTCTCCAATTTGGATGGGCAGGAAATTCAGCTGGGATCTTGCTTAAATCAGACTCACTTCAGTGGCTCTGAGTGGAGCCTAAGGGACTGTTTGCCTAGCAAGTCCCCAAGCCACATCAGTGTGGCTGCTTCTTGGACCAGCCACATTCCCCTGTGGACTATTCTACTCTTGTGGCCTTGTTCGCCTTGATTGTCAAGTGGAGTGAAATGGGGGAGGGGAGGGCAGTCGGTAGAGTGTTTTTGGACTCTGAGGTACAACAGGGTAGAAAGATAAGAGTAGAGAGAACGTGAGTCTGGGATTTTTCCGGGTTCAAACTCAAAGTTTGTCTCTGCTACAGATCTGCTAGTTGACAGAATACTCAACTTGTGACTCAGTTTCCCCATCTACTGCCTTGGTGTAATAGCCTCCGCTTCCCAGAGTAGGTGTGAGGCAACTGGGAGGTCAGGAAGGAAGGCACCGAGTGCAGAGCCTGGCCCTCTCTACTCCAGATGCAATGGGAACTATGATGGGGGCAGAAAGGGAAGAGGGACTTGTCTAGATTGCAAGCTCTTGGGTGCTACTGTGGGCACCCTTAATCAGTTCTGTGGGAGCTTGTTGTAGGGTTTTGTTTGTGCCACTATGCCTGGCCATATCTGTGCTTCAACTAGACCCCACATGACTTTTTTTTTTTTTTTTTTTTAATGAGATAGGGTAGCCTACTGGCTGATCAGGAACTCTCTGTGTCGACTATAGACCAAGCTGACCTAGAAGTCACAACGATCTGTCTGCATCTGCCTCCTGAGTGCTGGGATTAAAAGTATATACCACCACAGCCTGCCCCTACATGGATTTTATACCCATTAAACTTTGAGAAGTTCTAAGGGATGGTTCCCCTGGCTCCCCCTTCCCTTCTATCCCTGGCTCCTCTCACCTGGACAGTGACTTGGGGTAGAGAAGGCTGAGAGACTTCATGGCATAGTCCATCCTTGTCAGTTGGATTGTGTTGGACCTGGAATAGAGAGGCAGAAACTTATCTAATTATCTTGGGAAGGGAGGGGTCCCTCTCTTTCTTTGACCCAATGCATCCCAACCCCTACATAGCAACCCTCTGCCCCGGTCTCTCATCCGACCATCCCTTTCCACAGCAACTACAACTGAGCCCCAGCCTATCACCCCCATCTACTCCGCAGCTGCTCCCCAGCCGGGCGCCACTCACTTCATGTTCCTCTGACCCAAGCTATGGTCACACTGAGCAGAGAAAAGGACAAGTCGGGGCTGAAGAGGCCTTCACCGATTTGTTCCTGCCCCTGGGGACAGAGTCCACTTTACGCTGGCAGGAGGTGAGTCACACACCACCTCATGCTGTGGGAGACCTGAAAGTCACCTATAGTCCAGAAACTCCACAGGCAGCCAGGGCTTGGGGCCTGCTCTATCTACCCCATGGGTCCTTGAGCAATAGAACCCTCCTGGGGCTGAGCACCAGCCAAGAGAAGGAGAACTTTCTTGTTAAAGACAGTCTAGGTTTGTGCTCTCCAATACCACAGCTGCTACTCACCCTGAGCCTGCGGCAGCACGACTAACGGACAAAGGAGCTGCCTCTGCGCTTCTGTTGAGACTTATCTAATTTACATAACCACTGTGGCTTGTGACACAAGGTACCCGTGTTGGGCATCACAGCTCTGTCTGTGATTAAAGGCATTACAGGCATGAGTAATGGCTGTAGTACTGGCCTCATATGCCTCTGTTTTTCCTCCCATACTGCTGTTCTCTGGTTCTTGTCTGCTGGGCCCCTGCCCAGGCAGTCTTTTCTACCCATGATGCTTGTCTCAAACTCAGAACTCACCCCAGCTTCCCTGCTGCTCCTTTAAGAAAGCCTTTTCTGAGGACCCGCAGGATGATCCTCCATCCTGCCCTTCCCTGTCTATTTCTGCTGGAGCTCCTGAGTCCCTGCTGTCCCTGTTTTCAGCCATTAGCACAAGGAGCGAGTCCAGCACAGGAAGTGGGCATGGGTCAGAACTGCCCCCTCAGTCAGGTAAAATCACTCTTCTCTGATAACTGGGGTTCTTCCCAGGTCGCCCTTACAGAGTGAGAATCCCCTCACTCCCATTCAACACTACCCAAGCACCCTTGTCCCAGCCCTGTTCCTTATCCCCTTCTCCCCCATGGCAAGCCCACCACACCTGCTCTCTAGTAGCCAAATACCCCAGCTCCTCACCTCCCCCTTCACCTCCTAGCCTCCTGGTAATACCGCGTGGCCAGGCACAGCCCAGGCCTCCCTCCATTTTATTTCCATCTCCTGTAAAGCCACTCCCCTGGCCCTCAGCCCCAGCTGGGGAAAAGAGCATAGGGAGTGAGTTTGAAACCCTCCCCTAGGGATTTCAAGTCAGACAGACTTCCAGAAAGCCCTGAAAGGGGGAAGAAGGCATGTTTCGAAAGCGTTAGAAGAGGTGCTGCCCAAAGCTTGGTACCAGGCAAGAGGGCACAGAAAGCAACAGATGCAGGTTGTGGTTTGAGTCCCATCCCCAGACGGGCTCTTTGTGCTCACATGAGTGGCCTTTTGGGAACCCTGGTTTTCTCCTCTGCGTAAGGAGTAATGTTCCTGTTGAAGCCAGGTATGGTGGCTCAACACTTGGTAGACTGAGGCATGAGAAGGGACATGAGTTGGAATCCAGCTCGGCCTGAAGAGTTGGGCCCTGTCTCAAAAACGAAAGTGTATGTAATGAAAACTTTGACAACTTAGTGCTCAATGGATAGAAGTGATTGTTACTGATAATATGCTCTATGTAATAAATAAAATAAAACCAGAGATTAGGACAAGGTGAAATATGTAAAATCAAAATAAAATATCTCGATAAGAGCAGTAGCTCATGCCTGTAATGCCTTTAATCCCAGCACTTGGGAAGCCAAGACAGGAAGACTGCTGTGAATGAAGCCAGCCTGGGCTACAGGGAGTTCATGAACCAGCCTGGACAAGTGACATCCTGGCAAGAAAAGGGGATGGGAAATGACTAAAATTGGGTACAATGAAGTACAGGACTCAAGAGACAGAGGCAGGAAGGTCATCCCCAGTTCAAGACAAGCCTGAGCTATAGAGTCTCAAAAAAGTTAAAAAGAGGATAAGATCTATAATCTACTGTCATGAACACTGTAACTAAGAAAAAGAAAAGTTAGGCCAGAAAGATTACCCAGTGAGTATGCTAAACCTGACAACCTGAATCTGATCCTCAGGATCCACGAGGTAGAGAGAGAGAACTGACTGCCATAGGTTGTCCATACATGAACCAGTACACACATGTACACATACTAAATAAAAATATGCCTATATCAAAATCTCTACAAAAGGTTCACATTATTCTTGGGGTCAGAGAGATGTCTCCGCAGTCAAGAGCAAAGGCTACTACCCCAGAGGACCCAGCGTCTATTGCTAACACCCGTATGGCAACTCACCCTAGTTCCAGGGGATCTGACACCTCTTCAGGCCTCCGTGGACACTGAATGCATGTGGTGCAAAGACTTACATGCGGGCAAAACACCGTAAGCATCAAATACAAAATATCTTCAAAAACTCTGACCATCAGGGAGACAGAAAAGGACATTTACTCAGCACAGCCACACCAGGAAAAGCGAGGGGACCATGTTCTCAGCCGTGTTTTTGGGGTGCAGATGGTAGCTCTAGAATTTCAGTGGCGAAGAGCAAAAAGTGGGGCAACTGGAGAGCACAGGGCATGACTTTAATCCCAGCGCTTGGGGGGCAGAAGCAGGGGATCTCTGTGAGGCTAAGGCTAGCCTGAATGACATGGTGGATACCAAGCTGACCACAACTACAAAATAAGACACTGTCTCAAACATTAAAACAAAAATGGGGACGACAAATACGCACAGCCAGGCAGTCTTGCTCAAACTGTTCTGACTGACTACTGCCTCCAGTCTGGAGTGTGGGTCCTGCAGGAGCTAGGGAGAGCACTGCCTCTGAGGCTCGCTGATCCTGGCTCTTGAGACAAGCTGAAGAGAACTGGCTCAAAGAGAGAGCAGATCATAGGGGCCAAATTAGAACAAAGATGGCGTCTTCCTTCAGGTTTAGGGAAACCACTGGGGACTTCTTGGCACTGCCATAGGATAAGGCAAAAGTTTATTGCTAGTAATCTGTAATGTCCCCGTAAGTCCATTTTCTATTTATTTAGTTAGTTTTTAAAAAGATTATGTGTATGAGTATTTGGCCTCGAACTCGTAGAGATCTGCCTGCCTTTGCCTCCTGAGTGCTGGGACTACGGGTGGGAGAGATAATGTCATCAGGGCATAAAGAGAGCTACCCAGCCTTGTTATCCCCTGACTTGGGAGGTAATAGAGGCAGGAGGATCAGGAGTTCAAAGTCATCTCATCTACACAGTAAGTGAGTTCAGGGCTAGCCTGGGTTACATGTAATATGTAGTGCAACAGATCTGAGATTGGAACACACTCAGCTCAACTCTTAGGCACACAGCAGAGCCAGGGGACAGTCCAAGCCAAGCAGTTCCCCAAGGAAGTTCTAGGGAAAGGGTCAGGCCCTGCCCTTCCACAGTCACGCCCCAAACATTTATTAAACATTCCATGTGTACTTCCGTGTCTCCTGACAGATAGGCCAGAGGATGACTCAAGGCAGCTGACACACTAAGTTTATCACAGGAGACAGAATGGGGGGTGGGGGGATGGGACACAATGGGACAATGGACAGGATACAGAAGACCAGACCTACTGCAATGGACCTCCTGCCTGAGGGGATTCTTCGCAGACTATTAGGGTCTTGCTGACACTGATCTTTCAGTAAACACTCCTTGAATGTTTACATCCTATCAGACACCTGAGACACAGGGACCCAGAGGGCTCAGCTCTGGTCCCTGCCTTTGGGATTCGAATTTGGGGGCAGGAAGCAACACCTGAATGGGGCTCTCAAGCCATGTACCGTGTGACCGTTTCTCAAGGCACCTTGGAATAGACCAACACTGTGGCAATGGCTCAAAACTGAAGGGGCAAAAATGGAATAGAAGCTTGAAAGGGGTCCTTAATCCCAGTACTTGGAAGGCAGAGGTAGGCAGATCTCTATGAGTTCAGGGTTAGCCTGGTCGGTCCACAGAGTGAGTTCTAGGACAGCCTGGAATCTACATAACAGACCCTGTATCTACATAACAAATATCCCTGTATTATGTATCTCTATAAAAAGAAAAGAAAAAAGAAAAGAAAGGGAAGGGAAGGGAGAGACACACACACACACACACACACACACACACAGAGAGAGAGAGAGAGAGAGAGAGAGAAGGGCTTGACAGGGGCTGGAGAGATGGCTCACAGTTAGAGCATGGTTGTTTTGCAGAGGACCTGGGTTTGGTTCCTGGAACCCACATAGTAGTTCACAACCATCTGTAATTCCAGTTCCAGTGGATATGATTCTCTCTTCTGGCCTCTTTGGCCACCAAGCACACATATGGTACATACATAAATGCAGGAAAAACACTCATAAAATAAATAAATCTTTGTTGTTGTTGTTGTTTGTTTGTTTTTGAGACAGGGTTTCTCTGTGTAGCCATGGCTGTCCTGAAACTTGTTCTGTAGACCAGGCTGGCCTCAAACTCACAGAGATCCACTTGCCTCTGCCTCCCAACTAAGAATTCATTTTTTAAAAAACTTTTTATTGACTCTTTGTGAGTTTCATATCATGTACCCCAGTCCTGCTCATCTCCCCATCCCTTCATATTTGTCCTTCACCCTTGCAACCTCCCCCAAAATAGAACATACAAGCAAACAAACAACAACAAAACAAAACATAGAAAACGCCATCATGGAAGCTGTAGTGTGTCACAGTGTGTCGCACAATAGATCCTTCTGTTCATACATCTTCACTTGCAAGTGTACATTTCTGGGAGTCATTGGTCTGGTTCGAGATCTCTGGCTTCTGTGACACCATCAATATTGGATACTCATTCGGACTCCTCTCTGTTATCCTGTTGTTCCCTGTGTCATGGAGAGCCTGCAGCTTTGGAACAGCAGAACTAGCCCTTTCTCTGTTCCAACCATTTATAGATTCTGAGGTGGGCCAAATCAGAGCCATGGATCTGGGCCTGGGTGGTTAATCTGGTCAGCCTACAGGCCCTCCCTTATCCATCATTGCTCCGGCTAGGCCACCCAGTGCCACTATTGGCAAGAGGCAGGGTAAGTTCTCCTGCTCTTATGCCCTCAGGGATGGCTCACCCATACCCATGCCTCCAGGGCCAGCTCCAATGTTCTGCCAAGTCAAGGTTCAGGCCCC